TGTGTGTGTGTGTGTGTGTGTGTGTGTGTGTGTGTGTGTGTGCTTGTACTACTCTGTGTGGACACCTGTGGTGCATTCAAGAACCGTTCGTAAAATTATGGTGAGTTCATAAATGTAGGCTATTTCTTCAAACAGATAAAAAACATTTAAACATAATATTATAAGCCATAAACTGAGCGTGAGCAGTGTGAGCTTTCTAACAGTGAATATCTGGTTCAGGTGAAGCAAAACCATGAAAACAAGAATAAAAAATAAATAAAATAAAAAGTTTAAATGTGTTTAAATATGTCAATTTTCAAATTAAACAATTTGACCTCATGACCTGATCTGAGACCAGATCTGAGACTAGCTCTGAGACCGGGTCAAAGATGAGATCAGACCTCTGGAGGAGGTGAACCAGGAATGTGAGGATCTGAGACGGTTCTGAATGTTTCAGGTTGCTGGATCGGGTCAGAACCTGCAGTCAGGGGAGAAACAGACGACACTGGGACTCCAGAAAACTAAAACCAAGCTGCAGACTCACCTGTTCCAGATCCAGCAGGACCAGGAGAATGAGATGTTCTGCAGGAGGTACCAGGAGAAACTCATGAAGGTATAACGTTCTGTTTAGTGTTAGGTGTGGACCGGTGAACAGCCGATGGGGTTTTGTGCCAGAACTGTTTATTTTCAGACCCTGCAGGACCTGAAGTGTGTCTCAGAGATGCTGGACTCCTGCACCCTGATAGATCTGGGTTCAGACCTGCAGACCTCCAGGATCCTGGACTGCTTCAAACAGGCAGAGCCACATTTCAGGGTAAGAACTGGTCCAAGGAGGACTCTACGGGCCGTTGAGTGATAGAAGTTTTCAGCTGAACTGTCCATTAGGACATTTGGACTGACTTGGGAACATGCTGGACCTTCTGTCTCTGAACTGAAGAAGACGTCGTGGTGTTTCTTCACCCTGGTTGTGTCTCTGTCCTCTGCAGCAGCTGGACACTGAGGTAGACCACATGCTGCAGAGTCGGGACCATCTGACAAGAGTCCAGATCCACCTGGGGAAGGAGGAGGGGTGTCTTTCAGAACTGCTTAAGCTCCAGCAGACGGTGAAGGACAAGATCCACCAGAGCGAGTCCATCCTAAACCTGAGCAGAAGCTTCCACCTCGCAGCCAATCAGGTGAGAGGAGCTGAGAACCTTAAGCACTCAGTGTCCCAGAACCTTTCTACGGCAGAACTTTGGGTGGAGAAGCAGGTGGTTTTGATGTTCAACCATCAGATTCTTGATTTATCCAACAGTTTAGTGAAGAGAAGAATATTTCTGCAGCATCGTGCAGAGTTTAACAGAAAATATGAACAATTCAGATCAATCTTACTGATCTCCACAGGAAGTAGGTCAAATTCACAGTTTTTGATATGACTGATGTGGCTCCCCACCTGGGGGGACGTCTTAATTACAACTAGAGAAATTATATTTCCTGCAAAAATGCAGTGTAAATGCTTATTGCAGAAGAACTTGATGAAAAACAGCTGAAATTAGCTAAAAAAAATGCTGAAATGTAGCTGAAATGAAAGAATAAGCTTAATTTAACAGAAGAAAGCAGAAAAGCAAAAGAAAGCAAAAAAGAAAGCAGAATTAGGTTTAAATGAACACAAGTGAGCACAAAAATTTGGAAATGAGCTTAAAAATGGCTGAAATTAGCAAAAAAAAAAAGCTGGAAAGTAGCTGAAAAGGCAGAGAGAAGCTTAAACTATCAGAAGAAAGCGAAAAGAGCTGAAATGAGCTAAAAAATGTGGAATTGCCTGAAAAAGCTAAAGAGCTAAATGGTAGCTGAAAGAGCAGAAAAGGCTGAAAGGAGCATAAAGAAGTTAATTAGGACGAAAGAAGCAGAAATGAGCACAAAATAGTTTAAATTATCTGAAAAAAGCTTAAATAAGTAAAAACAGCTGAAAATTCAATTAAATTCAGTTTATTTATACAGCGCCAAATCACAACAAAGTTGTCTCAGGGCACTTTACAGAAACATTCACATTCATAAAAAAGCCAATTAGTAAAGTTCTCTTATCTAAGGAAGAAGCTGACTCGTTGAGTCTTCACTTCATCGCAGTCTCCCATCCTGAACAAGCATAAAGGAGACAGTGGAAAGGAAAAACTCCCTTTAAAAGGAAGAAACCTCCAGTAGGACAAGGCTCAGGACAAGCAGCCATCTGCTTTGACCGGCTGGTTTGAGAGGACAGGAAGGAGAGACAGATGAACACAGAATGGTAGGTCCAGGTGTATCCAGGTCCAGGTGTATCCAGGTCCAGGTGTATCCAGGTCCAGGTGTATCCAGGTCCAGGTGTATCTGAAAGACAAAAGCACGTCAAGGATAGAAAAAATAATTACAAATACAAAGCAGGTTGAGCAGAGTAAGTAAAGACAGTAGTAGAGTGAAAATTGTGGTCAGTTTGTCCTCCAGCAGTCTAAGCCTATAGCAGTATAACTAAGGGACAGCTCAGGAAACCCAAGCCAAATCTAACTATAGGATTTATCAAAAAGGAAAGTCCTAAAACTGGACAATGTGTCAGCCTCACGGACAGAAACTGGAAGTTGGTTCCACAAGAGAGGAGCCTGAGAACTGGAAGATCTTCCTCCCATTCTGCTTTTGGAAACTCTAGGAACCACAAGTAAACCTGCAGTCTGAGAGCAAAGTGCTCTGTTAGGAAAATATGGACCAATAAGATCTGTAATATAAGATGGAGCTAGGTTGTTGAGGGCTTTGTAGGTTAGAAGTAAGATTTTCAATTCAATTCTGGATTTGACAGGGAGCCAGTGGAGAGAAGCTAAAACTGGAGACATGATCTCTCCCAGTAACTCCAGTTAAGACTCTGGCAGCAGCATTTTGGATCAACTGAAGACGTTTTAAAGAAGTATTTGGACACCCAGATAATAAACCATTGCAATAGTCCAGTCTAGACGTGACAAATGCATGGACCAGTTTTTCTGCATCATTTTTAGATGTTTCTAATGTTAGTGATATTACGCAGCTGGAAGAAGGAGGTTCTAGTGACGCTTTTAATGTGGGGGATAAAAGACGTGTCCTGATCAAAAATAACACCAAGATTTTTAACATTAGAGCTGGAGGACAGATTAATGCATCTAAGGAGGGAGAAAGACTGAAACATATGAACAGTTTAGATCAACCTGAAATCTCTGCAGAAAGTCGCTCAAATTCAGTTTTTGATACGACTGATGAGGGTCGCCACCCGGGGGGGGGACGTCTCAATCACAATTACAATTACAATCGCCCCCCGACAGCATTGCTCCTAGGATCGATCAGACGCACAAACTCCTCCACCACGATAAGGTGGCGCTTCAAGGAGGAGTATTCTTCTCCTTCTTGGTTCAGCTTCTCCGTCTTCATTGGTTGCCGCAGCGGCTCATCCTCCTCCATCTCACTCTGTACGGATCAAATCAGAACTATTTCATTTCATTAAATAAAACAGTTTGAACCAAAAACAATTAAACCAGTTTAAAGAATGAAACATGAACGCTCGTCGTTCTGAAGACCTGCTGTTGTGTTTTACAGTGTCAGGGTCATGATCCATGTCCTGTACCCAGTCTCTGCCCTGCTGTCAGAACCACGTCTCTAAAGACAAAATAAGACGTTTACATTTTTCAAATAATTAATGAAACTCTCTTTAGATATATTAATGAACTGAACTCTAACGGTTCTGTCGAAATGTAACTGGACCTTCAGAACCTTGTTAAGCTACAGCAAATGATTTGTTCTCGTTTCTTTTCTGAGTCCAGCTGGAACTGCTGCTTCAGTCAGAACCCACCAAAACAACTGGTTCTGCTGGTTTATGTGGATCCAGAGAAGCTGAGCTGAGTTGGTACCAAGAAGCTCGGCAGCAGATCCAGAAGCTCTTTAAAACTACATCGGTCCTGAAGATGGACATTTGCAGCGCCGTCACTCAGAGTGTAAGAACCAACACACTAAACGCCGAGTCAGAACCAGCAGCCCAGTTTGTTCCTCATCGGGTCTCTGAGGTTCTGGTTTCACCTGCTGCTCTTTCTGCTGTTCCAGGGTTCTGCAGGTTTCCAGACCGAGCAGCTGGAGACCCGTCTCAGCTCTTTGGACGCCCTCTGCAAAAAGTCGTGGTTGAAGGAAGAAGCAGGACAGGAAGAGCAGCTGACTCACCTGCTGCACCGTGACATCATCCAGGTTAGTTGTGACATCATCCAGGTTAGTTGTGACATCATCCAGGTTAGTTGTGACATCATCCAGGTGAGGCCACGGCACCAAGCAGGTGGAGGCCCATCCACAGGTCTATCAGAACTGTGTAGACATGTTTATTTGTTGTTAGTCAGGGAGGGGACCAGCAGGGGGCGCTGCTGTCCTTCTGGGTGAACACACATTACAGTATTTGAGTTACTTAAACTTATTGTTAATTTTTTTTATTTCTGAAGCCTAAATTAAATACAAACTCTCAGAAAAACAAATCCTTTAATTTTAATGAGTCGGAGCATTTTTCTGTGATTCTAGTAAAACTCCTCCACGTTCAGCTGTGTTTGTGTAAAAAGTGCTCAAGTTCTGAAAACATGGAAAGTTCAACTACCTGTGACCCGTTTAAACTCTGACTAATGGTTCTGCTGGAAACTGGAGGGCCAAACAGGACTGGGTTTTACTATTCAATGTGCTTGATAGTGGGGATTTAGTCAATTTTATCTCCATCGTTTGTTGTCAGAACTCACTGTTCTTCATGGAGATAGATGAATTATCAATCTGTGGAAGATCTTGAGGACAACACAAGAACGACTTGTAAACAATGATGAATGACATGTAATTAATGATTAAAGATGTGTAATGAATTATGAATGACGTCATTAATTATTAAACATGTGTAATTAATTATGAATGACTTGCATTTAATGATTAATAATACATAATTAATTAATGATTGACAACATATAATTAAATATTAATTACACAATTCATAATTAATAATGTGTAACTAAGGATTAATAATGTGTAATTAAGGATTAATAACACATGATTAAGGATTAATCATGTGTAATTAATGATTGTGTGATTAATAATTAATTGTGTTATTAATTAAAGACTATATAATATGTAATTAATGAATAATATGTAATAAGGCTTAATAACATGTTTATTAATCATTAATAATGTTTATTTAATGATTAGTCAATGAATAATTATGGGTAATTAAATATTAATAGCATGTAATTAAGGACAATAAATGTGAATTATTATGTGTAGTTAATTAAGGATGAATAATATGTAATTAATTAATAAAAACATGTAATTAAGGATTAATAACATTCAATTAATAATAATGTGTAAATAATTATTACATAATTAAAGATTAATTATGTGTAATTAAGGAATAATAATGTGTAAATATTAAATCATATCTGAGGACTTTATGGTCAGTCTGAACACCTGATGGGTAACTCTGGGTCTTTGTAGGACTCTGGATAAGTTTTTGGTTCTGGTTCATTGTTTGTGTGACTTTTGTTACTCTCTCTTTTTCCTCACCTCGGGTTTCCCCCTCCTCTCGTGGACCCATCCAGCCTCTGGTTCTGTTCCGCTGAGAGACGGAACTGTCTCCGTGTGGACAAATGTGTCTCAGCTGCCCTCAGCTGACAGATCAGACACCCGACACGCCTCCCTCAGAGACAGAAACGTCTCGCTGCTCTAAAAATACATCAACAACAAGTTGACCCGTTGGAACGGTTCTGACCTGGGTCCATTGGGACCATGCTAAAGTTGAATGTCCCGTCTGTGGGTTTTTAGTTCCTGTTTGTTTAATAAACAGATTCAACACATCTCTGTGGACTTAACAGGTTCTGGTTCTGGTTCTTATTGTGGTCCTGAACTAAACACCTGGAACTTTGACCAGATGAAAAAGTTTCAGTTCATAGAAACTACGCATCCTGCAGGTGTTTGTTCTGATCCAGTTCTGGTCCCTGATGAGGCTCTGGACTGTGGTCCAACTCAGTGTTCTGATCCAACCTGTTGTAGTCCTTCAAATTCCTCAGAGAATGTTTTAGCCCATGTGTTTGGTGGACCTTCTCCTCCAGCTGAAGTTCGGGCGATGTTGTCCACAGAACCTTGTCAGAACCAGTAAAGAACTTCAGTTTGTTGGGTTCTGGTTGGACTGTGTTTTTGTCAGCATGTGGACCCATCAGAACCTGTTAGATGTTTGACCTCCATGTTGTGTTGTTTCAGCTTGGGGACTCGTTCAAGGAGCTGAAGAAACGTTTCAGCAACACCAAGATCAACTTCCTGAAGAGAAACGACAGAACCAGAAACCCGAAGGTCGCCCGCAACCAGCTGCAGCAGATGGAAGTCCTCCAGGACAAGCTGCAGGTACCACCAGTCCAGAACCACCTGTGCTTAAAAAGGAGCCACCATGGCCCATGTCAGATCCTGGTCCTGTTTCTGGATTTCTGTATTTTTTTAAAATATCAAACCAGAATTTTTACAAAACAAAAAGAAAAATGTTTTCTAGAAAATTAACACGACTGACGGATGAACCATCAAAAGGTTCTGGTTCCTGGAGGTCCACCAGCAGCTTTATGAAACTACATCAGGTGTTCGTCGACAAGAACTGGGCCTGCTGGTTCAGAATTTCAGAACCCAACTGAACTCACAGGCTCGGCCAGCTGGACCAGATAACAAGCTGAAAAGTTCTGAACCCTCAGAAGGTCCAATAACTTCAGACAACAGGTGTTCCTCAGGGAAATTCACCACTTCACTCATCAAATATTCAGCTGCTCGAGTTTTATGAGCCATCCCAACCTGAAATAAAAATATCAAATTTATCGACTTCCTGTTTTTATTTTAGCTCCTTAAAACCTTTTAATAGAAAAAAATAAATAAAAAGCCCCCCCCCCAGCTCTTCAGACTCTCCATAACCTGCAGCTGAAATTGACACTGTGTTTTCAGACAAACTTGACAGAGCCGTTTGTTGTTCGTCATGAAGTTTATTTTTTCTAAAACTTGTGCACGGCTCCAGTTCTGACCCGGTTGACCACAAAGGGGCTGCAGTCTGATCCATTTACTAACAGTACCATGTGCTGGGTCAAGCCCACACGAGTCAGTGGTTCTTCGGCCTGCAGCCTTGTGGCTCTGCTGTTTTGACCAAATTTTTTTTTGTGTGTGCACAATTCATCTGTCAAACTCAAAACCACACCCTAATGTTTGGTACCAGTACCATGCCCAGAACCGCTGAAGGAGCAGACAGTGTTTGTTCTGGTATCAGAAATGGACTCAAAACTGCAAATCTGAATAGAAAACTGAGTCTGAACCTGTCTGTACAGTAAATCTGTGGTTTCAGGGTTGTGTAAATGTGGTTCTGATGGTTCTGCAGGCTCTCAGGGAACGTGTGCACGGTGTGGCGGCCCGTCTGGGGTCAGAGGTGAGGGACGGGGCTGTGGCCCGGCGCGTGGAGGACGCCTCCAACGAGCTGCAGAGACAGATGGGAGAGTTGGAGCGGAACATCCGTGAACACCAGAGAACCCTGGACCTGACCTGCAGACTGCAGCGGGCCATGGAGAAGGTACCACAACTGACAGACCAGTCAGAACCATTGACTGGGCCAATATCTGACCATTTGTTGCTCTGCATCCACAGTATCAGTTCTGGTGTGAAGAGGCGAGCGCTACCATCGCTCGGGTCGGGAGGTACTCTCTGGAGTGTCGCAGCACTGAAGCTGTCTCGGTTCTGTACCGGCAGTTCGAGAAGTTTGTTTGGCCCACGGTTCCTCAGCAGGAGGAGAGGATCAGTCAGATCACCGAGCTGGCTGTCAGGCTGCATGGTGGGTAAAAAAACCCCAAAAAACAATACAAGGCTTTTACTCTGAAAGGACAGGAAGATTACGACCAAGCAGGACGTTTTATTCTGAAAAGTCTGGTCAACAGAAAGTACTATTCTAAAACTAGAGAAACTGCATTTCTGGCAAAAATACAGTGTGAATGCTTATTGCAGAAGAACTTGCTGGAAAAACAGCTGAAATTAGCTAAAACGGCTTAAATGTAGCTGAAGTGAAAAAACAAGCCAAAATTAGCAGAAGAAAGTAGAAAGAATACATATTTGCTGAATTAGATTTAAATGAGCAGAAATTAACACAAAAATTAGGAAATCAGCTAAAAAAGTTTTTTTTTTTTATCTAAAAAGTATCCAAAAAGGCAGAAAGAAGCTTAACTTACAAGAAGGAAGTGGAAAGAGCTGAAAAGATGTAGAATTAGCTGAAAAAGCTAAAATTTGCATAAAAACAGCTAAATAGTAGCTGAAATAACAGAAAAAGCTGAAACTAGCTGAACAAACTAAAAGGAGCATAACCCAGTTGGAGTGGTGGGCAGCTATGTAGGCGCCCAGGGAGCAACTGGGGATTGGGTGTCTTGCTGAGAGGCACCATGTGGGAACGGCTGGGGATCGAGCTTGGGGCTTTTGGGTCCCGAGTCGACTGCCCTGCTTCTGCCCCATCTCGGCCCCCTGAAAGGATCATAAGAAGCTGAAATTAGCAGAAAGAAGTTAGAAGAAGCACAAAAATGTTGGAATAATCTGAAAGGAGCACAAAACAGCTGAAATTAGCTGATTTTTAAAATTTATTTGCACATTGAAGCTAAAAGAAGCTGAAGCAAAACAATGTGAAAGGAGCAGTAAAAGGTTGTAACAGATCTAAAGAGTTGAAGGGTGTAAAATGAGCTCAGTTCATTTTCTATGAGGAAAAAAAAAATAGCAGAAAAGGCTAAATATTTCAAAAAGCTAAAGTTGCACCAATAGCAAAAGTCATAACTGAAAGAGCCGAACGTTTTGATTTATGATTTGTTGAAATTGTTGAAAACTGGGGGACGAGAAAGATGCGGAGAAAAACTTACAGAAGAAAACTGGATCACATAAATGCTTCATAAACATTCACACAATAAGCTAGAAACACAAAAGCCACATATTTTGTCTTTCAAAAAATATAAAATGTTTTAAAGAAAGTATTTTTTAATGACTGTAAAGTTTCCAAAACCAGGTTGATATTTGTTGGTTTTAAGCCCAGAATGAGACGAGTTTAAACTGTTTACAGATGTTGTGTTTCAGGGGCGGAGGAGGGTCAGCGCTACATGGAGAAGACGGTCAGTAAACACTCTGACATGGTGGAGTCCATCAGAGAGCTGAGCCACGGCCTGATGGAGCTGGAGGCCAAGCTGAAGGTGAACAAACTTCCTGTAACTCCGAACCAGATGAGTTCTGATTGAGTTTTCTGTGTCAGACCGTGATCTCCTCTTCCACGTGACGGAACATACCTTTGTCTTTATCCTGGATGAATTTAACCAGATAGTCAGAGTTTTCCATCACTGTGATGTTTTCAGCTGGAGAGTCTGAAACAGCAGCAGAGTGATGAAGAGAAGAAGGTCAAAGAGGATGAAGAGAGGCAGCAAAGCGGAGAGGAAGAGAAGATGAAACAAAAGGAAGTCATGGATAACTGCAGATCTCAGGAAGCTGCTGACATGGTAGCATAAACAGAGCATGATCTGATTTATTTGGAATATCAGAAGATGACATGAGTCCCTTGAACCCAGCAGGAGCTGAAGGAGACAGGCCACACCCCTGAACTGGCTTCAAAGCATAATGGGAAAGTGGCTGCAGCAGCCAATAGGAATGCTCCGTTAAAGAAGGGTCAGGAGGTCGGCAGACTGACGGCGGACTCAGAGAGCAGGTTGGTACCAACACCTGTCTGATCACCTGACGTCTCTCAAGAGCTTTTGTTGGATCTCTTCAGACCGTTAAAAACAAAACCTTACATCTCTGTTTCTGTTCTATGTTCAGACAGTCACGCTGTGGAAGTTTCACCTCCTCCTGCTCCTCTCTGGAGGCCAACCGACTGGTTCACACCATCAGCAGCCAATCACAGCTCGCCATTATTGAGACACAAGCCACGCCCCCGCTGTTTGTCGTTGGCCCATTGTTCTCTGATATCCAGAAGGAGTTTCAGAAAGAGGTAAAAGGAGAACAGGTTGCCTGCATCTTCTATGGGTCAGACCTGAGTACAGGCGACTTAAAGTCCCCAAAACAAAACATTTTCAGGTTTTCAACATTTTGTGCTACAAACTCACATCTTTCACAAACACACCAGCCATCTCCACTTCTACGCTGATGACACTCCACTTTACATCAACCCTGAGGCTCTGACTCCTCATCCAAACTGTGAACATTTCATTTTAATTTGACCTAGGAGGCTTCAGAACACGTGGAACTCCAACAACAGGAGGCGATGACGGATGACTTTCTGTCCAACGATGAATACGAGTGTCCATCGCCTGACGACGTGTCCCTACCGCCGCTGGCTGAGACCCCCGAGTCCAACATGTTCCAGTCCGACATCGAGGAGAGTATCTGTTTCAGTTCTCACAGCATTCATCTCAGTCTCCAGTCCCACCCCCAGGCAGAACTAACTGGAACTGGTCCTGGTCCTGTCCCACAGCAGACAGCTTCCAGTCAGACAGAGACCTATCTTCACAGCAGCACAAGGTCTGTATGAGAGCAGGGGGATTCTCTTCAGTCTGGTTCTGAACAGTTCTGTCCAGATGTAAGTGTCTGTTTTTGACATGTCATAGGTTCAGATCAGAGTCCAGGTCCTTCCTTCAGAGTCCGTCCACAGTTCCTGAGCCAAGACTCTTTACTAGCACTCTGTGCACCATCCTGAAGGCCAGAGAGTCCAGCACAAATAATTTAACTCGAAGTACTGACCTTTCCCAAGGCAGCCCAGACCTGAAACCCCCACCTGAGTATAACCCGGTTCAAGGGAGCAATGCACCAGATGGTTTTAATGATGTTCCCCAGAGGAGGAACTCTTCTCTAACAACTGTTCAGGATTTGAGTCAGAACCTTCATGCTCAGTCCTTTGGTGGTCTAGACCCAGATTTACACAGTTGGAGCACCTCTGCAGGAGACACCAGTTCCCTTGGACCCTCTAATTCTTCTCAAAGTACCACCAATATTTCTCAAACCATCAGTTCAACAAAACCTTTTTGTGGCTCGGAGAATAAGATCCAACAGGACACAAAGTCCATCAAATGTCCAAAAGAAACCACATCTCAAAGGGATCATCTCACAGAGACCAGCACCAGTTTCATTACCCAGCAGAACTCTGACTTCAGGTCCTTGTTGTTATTCAATCATCTTGTTGAGACAAAGGCCAGTACTTCATCTCTGAGAGGAACCAACCCTCAGTCTGATCCAGTTTCTAAGGCTGAAGACTCAACCCATCTACAGGACACTGATTCTTTTGTATCTTCAGACACCACCATCAAAGATTCAGCAAACTCTCAAAATATGAATCTTCTACAGTCGTCCACATGTTCCAGAAGTGGCCCAGATTGGGCTACAACTCCCTTCCAAACCAAATCCAGAGACGGCAGTCTTACGACAACCACTGGTGTCACCCAGCAGACTGTCTTCTGCCAGTCTCCCCCCTCAGACAGGTTTTGTTCCAACCAGGCTACCAAAGATCAACGTGAGGGCCACATGGGCAGTCTTTCACAATCAACGGGTCCTAAACAACCAACCGATCCTCCGAAATCAACGGGTCCTAAACAAACAACCGGTGTCAACAACTTCGGTATCCGCAGCAGCAGGAGGAGCCTCCACACAGTCCGCCCTCTACATGAGTTCCTGGCCTCCCCATGTGCCCTGCAGTCTGTGCAAGGCCCCAGCATGAGGTCCAGCAGCCAGGCCCAGCTTGCTGATCCTCCTCAGACTCAAGCTTTGACTCATCCAGCTAACCTGCATGTCACACCCACCTCCTCTCCATTCCATTTACTAACTTCACCCAAAGACCCTGACGTTTGTCAGCCCATGGTCGTCTGCGAGGAGATCAGGCTCACACCTCAGATCCAGGGGCCTCCTGTTTCTGCTCCTCCTCCTCAGGTCCAGGCAAGGACTCTGCCATGGGGGAAGGTCTCTAAACCAGGTCCTCCCTGCTTCACCAGGCCTCTGTCTCAAGCCACGGTCATGGAGGGTTCTCCTGTGACATTGGAGGTGGAGGTGATGGGAAACCCAGAGCCCAGGCTCACCTGGTGGGTAGCATACAACCGTCTCCATGGCAACACACAAGCTTCATAATATTATTAACAACTCGACTCACAGAAAGACAACACTCATGTTTGTATTAACACAGGCTGTGGAGCCGAGTCACGGCAGGTGATACTGTAATTACCCACAACGCTAACATCAAGTTCAGGCTCTGATCACAGGAACACGGCGTCAGTTCAGCTGTAGCTCATCGTCCTTCACAAACTAAAACATCCAGGAACAAAAAACCAGAAATGATCAATAGAAACAATTAAACTAGCATTTTATGTAGGCATTCTTATTGCCCACTACCTTGTAGGCCCAAGAGACCTGTAGGGAGAGTTGGTATGTTAGCCCTCAGAGTTAGTTAGGGATGACTCTCCTCTGCAACCACACCAAGTTTTCAGTCAAAGTCTGTAAAACTGACTGAGTTGTAGCCATTGATGTGTTCCCTAAGGCTGATTAGCTATGGCAGCCATCTTGAATTGTGTTAACTTCAATGAAAACGAGTTATGGATGTCTGCTGGACATGGGCACCAGTGACCCCCGTGACCCGAAAAGGAAGAAGCGGGTAAAGATAATGGATGGATGTTTGTCACACATCTTAACATATTCTGCACTTTTCTATTATCACATCAGTGTTTGATTCATGATTCTCACTCTAATGGTTGGGTTTGTCAGTGTAGTTTGTTTGTGAGCACATACATCAACCACAGAACTTAACCTCCTCATACCTGCACAGGTGATTAGAGCAGCAGCTG